TTAAGCAACCTTTAAACAAAAGCCATAAGATTCTAATGGCGGTGATCCTGTCTATAGGAATAATGGGGGTGCAAATGGACAGTATCTAGTGCTATTGACTTTCAGCAACAAGGAAGTGAGACGAAGCGCAACCTGATTAAGGCTTAATTATAACGAAATTTCTGCACAGAACTCAGCATGGAATCCTTGTCAACCCCTGTGGGGATGGCTTCATCAGCTGCTCCATGTGTTTGCCAACTCAGAAGCTCTCTGAAGCCCTTTGTTTAGGGTTTTTATGGAGCTTCTATTACGTAGGCGTGATTGCTTAAACCACGGGCCATTGGTGATTTACTCAATCCAGCCTTTCTCTCCCTTCCTCAGGGGTGAGTAGGGCTGAAAGTTCCAATCCTCTATAATCACATGTTTGGTTCCTCTGGCAACCAGTGCCCATCCTGAAGCTATCTATGGGCTTCCAGCCACCAGTCATCTAATTAACATAATTCATGTACACTTGAAAAGAGCTTGTTGTAAATAACAAAAGATGCTCCTGTCACCTCGATTGCTCAGAAAATTCAAAGAGTTTTAGAAGCTCTGTGCCTGGAACCAGGGATAAAAACCAACTATTTTAACAAAAGATGCTCCTGTCACTCCTATCACTCGGGAAGTTACAAGAATTTTAGAATCTCTGTACCAGAAACTGGGGCTGAAGACCAAAGAAGTATTTCTTATGATATCACAGTATCACAGTCCTTATCAGGCTACCAGTGGAAAAGAGGTAGAAAGTTATCCAAAAGTCACATTTTCACGTAGGAGAGAAAAGCTGGGTTTTGCTAACACTTCACCCACAAGCTTCTTTATCAACAAAGTAACTCGTCATTGAAACCTGTATGCTCTATTTATATTTTCAGTATACATTAGTTGGCCAAAACATAGGTATAAAAGTAAGGATAGCAACAAAAAGAGAAATCACTTCTGTACCAGAGAAGTTTAAATGGATATGCCTGGCAACCTACTGTAAACCAAAAATAAAATTATAAGCCTCCTCAACCATCTGAATGGACCCCTCTTCTTGGCCAAGGGCATTCCAAAGTTGACCTGAAAATTCCAGCCATAATGGGAAGTGGATGTTGGACATGCCTCATTCTACCCTCCTCCCTTTTGGAATTACTGATAAAACGGACTCTTTAAGTCTGATAAGAAACATTTACAATCTATTCTTTCTGAAGCCTGCTACCTGGAGGCTTCACCTACATGATAAAGCTTTGGTCTCCACAACCCCTTATCTTAACACAGATATTTCTTTCTATTGATTCTAAGTCTTTAGACAATAACTAAACTCTTTCAGAGAAAGAAAATAAATAATTCAACAATATTAGAAATGAAGTGAATGAATTCCTAATTTCAAGGGACCCATTGAGAACCCAGCATAGCAGGCAAAATAAAGATATACACCGAAGCACATTATTATAAAATTTCAGAACGTTGGAGACAGAAAGAAGCTAATAGAGAGGAAAATAAAATCACTGGAAAGGGTAAAGAATCGGAATGACTTCTCAATAGCCACTCTGGTAGTAGAAGTCAATAAAGAAATGTTTTTTAAAACAAAAATGTTTTTAAGTTCCCTTTTATTTAGGTTGAAATAAGCTGTACAAAATTGATATTTCTGACCAAAAATAACAGCCATATTTTCTATCATATTTATAGATAAACCACAAAACATTTATTGTAGTCAGTTTTTCAGGTTTTGATTTTAATCTAGATAAGGAAGTAGACATAGTTACGAAAAAAGAAGAGACCAGACACATCAGCTGTCTGTAACCAGTGCTTCTGATTCTGTCTTGACCATGAAACTAAAGTGTTCCACATACACCTGATGAAAAGCTTATGACACAGGAAAACATCAGCTGGACAAAGGAATGCAAACAGCAACAAGCAGAAGGAGAACAATGATGCCAGGCTCTTCCATTCAAACTTGTTAATTTAGGGTCACTTGATAAAGATCAGACCTACAATGCCACCCTTGTTGGGTGAACTCACTGCTTCTCTCACTCTCTGGTAATTCCCATAACTGTGCGTTAAAGGGTTTTTTTTGGTTTTTGTTTTTGTTTTTGTTCTGTTTTGTTTTGTTTTTGAGACAGAGCCTCGCTCTGTCGTGAGGCTGGAGTGCAGTGGTGCGATCTTGGCTCACTGCAGACTGTCTCCCAGGTTCACGTGATTCTCCTGCCTCAGCCTCCTGAGTAGCTGGGACTACAGGCCTGTGCCACCACGCCCAGCTAATTTTTGTATTTTTAGCAGAGACTGCATTTCACCATGTTGGCCAGGATGGTCTCAATCTCTTGACCTTGTGATCGACCTGCCTCGGTCTCCCAAAGTGCTGGGATTACAGGTGTGAGCCACCACGCCCGGCCATGTTAAAGGTTTTTAACAGTATACTGAAAAGTCCTACTAGTGAAAGGTGTGTTGTAAGATTCACTGTGACATTTTATGAAACGTATTCATTCCTCCTGTACCTACCCAAAATTTATTCCTTCAAAGTACCGATAACTAACATAACTTCAAAGTACTGGATCCACAGTGATACTAAATGCTGTATCTGAAATGATTTTAAAACAATTCTACCAGCCTGGGCAACAGGGCAAAAACCCATGTCTACAAAATATACAAAAATTAGCCAGGAATGGTGGCACGTGCCTGTAGTCCCAGCTACTCAGGAGGTTGAGGAGGAAGAATCGCTTGAGCCTGGGAGATTGAGGCTGCAGTGAGCCCCGACTGTGCCATCTCAAAAAAAAAAAAAAAAAAAAAAAAAGGGGATTCCAGAGTGCCAGCACCAGAGAGTATGCAGAAATGGAATTCCATGCTTGTACATCTTTCAAATTTTTCCTCCAAATATCAAGAGTTTGGGACCAGCCTGGCCAACATAGTGAAACTGCATCTCTACTAAAAATACAAAAAACTAGCTGGGCATGGTGGTGCGTGCCTGTAATCCCAGCTTCTGGGGAGGCTGAGGCAGGAGAATCACTTGAACCCAGGAGGCGGAGGCTGCAATGAGATTATGCCACTGCACTCCAGACTGGGCAACAGAGACTCTGTCTCAAAACAAACAAACAAAAAATAAAATAAAATAAACATCCTTTGAGGTATTTTTAATGATTTCTGAATCACCTGTAGGTAGTTCTTACTTGCTGTATAGAGTTTGATATGTGCATCTACAGTTAAATCCAGATCATGTCTTATATCAAAATTTATGCTAAGTAAAACCAAGTTATTTAACCTGTCAAAGTTTTCCTCAGCTATAATTTGAGATGCTTTCGTTTATTTCATAGTGTTCACTCTCAATCTTCATTATAGGAAGAATACACAGGACTTTCAACAATGTATACACATTAGGGAGTTTTATTGATGTCAGGCACATAGAGGGCTTCAAACATGCTGATGGAAGCTCTGCTTCTTTCCCTCTGTGTTTCCACTTGATTCTCCAGCAGTGAAACTGGCTGACAGCATGTTCCAATTGGCTCAGTCACTTCAGCTAGTCAGCTTAGTGTTTCTCCCATGTGTCGAATTTGAGCTGTCCCATGACACAAGGTGCCAGAGATCAGCATTTGTGAGCTATGAGACGTTGTTCTGAGAATAAATCTTTGAGTTCCAGAGTAATGTGCTACACTGTTGGAACACACAGAGATTCCTTATAGTAACTCTGAGAGGTTCGTTGAGATTCTAGGTTACCTTGCTGAGCTCTGCAGAATTTCCCAGAGACTTTTATTTGAATATCAAGATCAGTTAACAAATGCATGCCTTCCTCAAATTCATGACAAGTTTTGTCATGAATACTTTTGTCACCAATACTTCATTAGTGATACGATACCACCATGAAGCTGCTGGCTGCAAAGAAAACATCAGAGATTTTCCCCCTAGAGATTTTTTTCCCAAAGCCTCTTGTAAGATAAGATATTTTTAAGAACAATTATAAAAATAAAATCAAGGCTGGGAGTGATGGCTCTCACCTGAATCCCAGCACTTTGGGAGGCCAACGTGGGAGGATCACTTGAGCCCAGGGGTTTGAGAGCAGCCTGGCCAATCATAGTGAGACCCTGTCTCTATTAATCAAAAAAAAAATAAAATAAAATACATGAATGCACTGCAGAGTACGAATGCTTAGCCAGCTGTACAGTTATGTCATCTGAGACTTGTGTCACCATTTATGTCTCTAAATATAAAACAAATGCTGGCAGGAGATCCAGTAACATTTCAAAAGCATCATGCCTATCTGTCCATTGAGAATAACAAATTACCTTCAGTTCATTATTCCTTTCTTTGTTGTTCTGAGAAAGGACAGAAATTACATAGTCAAGTTCTAAAAGGGTTTTTTAATTTTGTAAGCTACTTATAAGAGCTCTTCTAACTATTTGAATGTATGCTAAAGTCATTTCGGTTAAGAGAAAGTTAAAAAATGGAAGTCAGTGATGTTATTTCAAGTTACAGTCTTTTGAGTCAGGTAAGAGACTCATCAATAAACCTCACCGTCCCGAGCTGGTGTTCTTTCTCTGCTACATCCACCACAGCATCAGTGATCACAAAAAAGAAGTATGACTCCCTTACTTCCTGGGGCTTTCTTCCCAAAGGCAGCTCTCACAGATCTCTAGCAGCTGTTCCTGATGTTTTCCAACAGAACAGCTGGAAAGACGCTGTTGCCTCAAAGGGCTTTCTCAGGACCTCGTCACCAGAATTTATCTGGTACCTTAGCAATGTTTGAAAGATATCAGGAGTAAAGAGACCTTCCCAGATTTAATCAGACTCATGTCCATCCAGAGGTAGGTTTTGTTTTCTCAAAAGAATAAACATTTAAATAAAGATTTTTGGTATTATTTGTTTTTCTTCTCTTCAAGGGTTAAAAGTTAAATGTTTTCACCTTGTTCCTCACTCTCTTTTACTGCATTGAGCTTCTGAGTCTTGCTGTCATGGGTTTATGTTTTTGTTCCTGTTCAGAAGTTTTATCAATATTTTTTGTTTTAATTTTGTTTCAGTGTCCTGATTTTATCTTCATTTAATTCTTTTTGATTGACTACTACACTGGAGTGTTTGTTTATTCATCTGAGCAAGATATTAAAAGTTCCTTTAAATAGATGACATTTAAAAGGCATAAATTGGCTTCTCTGACCACCCTCACCCTTCAACTGTCAGCGTATCCTCCTCATTCTTCTTGGATGCAGGACAAGAGTTCAGGTATGAGCTATAATACAGGTGGGCTGTCTGCTGGGGTGTGCCTGGTCCAGCCTCCTTGGGCTGAGCCGGTATGCAAGCCAGACTCAGCTGGGGTGGGCCAAGTGGGTGGGGTGCCTCCAGCAGCGGGTAGCATGGCCAAGGGAGGTCCAGGCTGGGGAGTGGTACGTCGCTGGCTGGAGATCCCGGCTGCCAAAGTGACCAAGAAAAAAGTATTGTGTCAATATCATCTGGAGGTAAGAAAATATTACACATTCACAGACACATAAAAGTGTATCCAAACCCAGATAGAGAGCTTACAGTTTTAATTTTAAAATTTTAGCCAATGCTATATTTCATCCAAGCAGAAATACAAAAATCTCTGAAGCAGTTCTCCCCCAGTTAAGTACAAATTCTTAATAGATTTAATTCAAAAAATACAAAATAGACCAACAGGAAGAAAGGAACAAACGGCTGTTTTTCACCTCCAGAGACAAGATTTCTATAAACCATTTAATTAGTTTATAAAGACCACCAAAATATAAAAATAAAAAATAAAAAGCATAACTTGTTTTTGAAAAAATGCATAAATATTTTCAATTGAATTATTTGACTCCAACTTTCTTTTCTGAGATTTTTAGCCTTCTTTGTGTGCTCTTAGATTTTTAGTCAGTCCCTGTTCTAGTTATCTACTGCTGCAAAACAAACCACACCTCTATACCTAGCAACATGAAAACAACAATTTTATTATCCTTGTGGAATTCAGATAGAGCATGGTGCGGATATTTTGTCTCTGCTCCATGATGTCCAGGGCCTCAGCTGGGATGACTCAAATGCTGAGGGGTGACTTGAAAGGCTGGAAATGGAACCATCTGGAGGCTTCTTCACTTACAGATTCAGTGCCTAGGCTGGAATGACACGAAGGCTGGGCTTAGTTGTGGCTGCTGACCACAGAACTTACATATGGCCTGTCTCTATGGCTTGAGATTCCTGCAGAATGGTGGTCAAGCTCCAAGAGGGAGCTTCCCAAGAGTGAAGGTTCCCAGAGATCCAGGCAAAAGCTGCATGGCCTTCTATAGCCTAGTCTCAGAAGTCACAAAGCATCTCTTCTTCCATATTCTGTTGCAGGGATCAGCAAACTATGGCCCAATGCCAAATCCATCTGCGATGTCTTTTTTCAAAATAAAGTTTTGGCTGGGTGCGATGGCTCATGCCTGTAATCCCAGCACTTTGGGAGGCTCAGGCAGGCAGATCACAAGGTCAGGAGTTCAAGACCAGCCTGGCCAACATGGTGAAACCCTGTCTCTACCAAAAATACAAAAATTAGCTGGGCATAGTGGCTTGTATCTGTGATCCCAGCTACTCAGGAGGCTGAGGCAGGAGAATCACTTGAACGTGGGAGGCAGAGGTTGCAGTGAGCCGGGATTATACCACTGCACTTTAGCCTGGGCAACACAGTGAGACTCTATCTCAAAAACAAAAAATAACAATACAATTTTAAAATGAAGTTTTATGGGAACATAGTCATGTTTAATCATTTATGTACTTTCACACTACAGTTCACACTACAATGGCAGAGTGTTCGTTGCAATAGAGATCGTATAGTTTGCAGTCTAAAATGTTTGCTGTCTTGCTCTTTACAGAAATAGTTTGCAGATCCCTGCTCTATTGGTTAAAGCAATCTCAAGCCTGCTCAGTGCCAAGGGACAGGAATAGACCCCACCCTTGGTGGGAGGTGTGTCAAAAAAGGTGCAGTCATTTAAAAAAAAAAAATCACCACAATTCCTGTTTGCCTCATATTTTTATGCTCGTTTGGTTTTTTAATTTTGTAAGCTACTTATAAGAGCTCTTCTAACTATTTGAATGTATGCTAAAGTCATTTCGGTTAAGAGAAAGTTAAAAAATGGAAGTCAGTGATGTTATTTCAAGTTACAGTCTTTTGAAACTTCCCAATGTCAGCTCCTTTAGGTAAATATTTGGGTAATAATTCTTCCAAAGAAAGGTTAGGAAGGTTAATTTTTGTTCAGAGTTAAAGGACAAAGAAGACCTTTATTTTAGTTCCTTAAAAAAAAAAATAGTTACTTTAAAAAAAAAAAAAGAAAGAAAAAAAGGGCTGAGCATGGTGGCTCATGCTTGTAATCCCAGCACTTTGGGAGGCCGAGGTGGGCAGATCACAAGGTCAGGAGTTTGAGACCAGCCTGACCAACATGGTGAAACCCCGTCTCTACTAAAAATAGAAAATTAGCCGGTCATGGTGGCATGTTCCTGTAATCCCAGCTACTCGGGAGACTGAGGCAGGAGAATCACTTAAACCCGGGAGGTGGAGGTTGCAGTGAGCTGAGATCGAGCCACTGCACTTCAGCCTGGGTGACAGAGCGAGACTCCATCTCAAAACAAAACAAAAAAAAGGTAAATGGTAAACACTTGTTGAAACAGTTAAGTCTCTCACTTGGTCAACAAGTTTCAGGTTATATAAATCATTCCCTATTGATGAATATTTTTATTTAAACATGCTATATTGGTACTATTTTAATTAAACTGTACAGTGAAGCAGTTGAGTAGGCAGTGGTTTTTAACCCTGGTTACATACTTAAATCAAGGAAGCTGAGACCCCTATCCTAGATAATCAAATAGGACCTCTGGAGATGGGGCCACCACAGATTTTAAAACCTCCTCAAATGATTTTAATATTCAGCCAGGGCAGAGAAATATGTGGCTAGGTGACTGTAGGCTCTTTCCAGAGGGTAAATTCTGTGAATGTAAGGGGGATGTGAAAATGGGAAGTTTTCCCAGTATATTTGCTGCTTATACTACTAAGAAAATTATTTGGAATGACTGTTTGTATGTTTTTACCATGTATGATTAATATGGTAACCAACATGACCTCAACATCTCATGGTCATTTGAACTACCTGAGTTAGCCAGAACCTAAGTCAAATGTTTCAATTTTCACATATCTTTTGACTTACAAATTATTTCTGTCATTCTATACTACACGTTTACTCTGAAATAGACCTTGTATTTCGTTTGTTTGTTAATGAACGTGCTACTATGGCATCATTTTCAGTATGACATTGGCATGTGTCTGTAAATATGTATTAAGATTGTGTTTCTCAGACAAGTGTGCCCATACATCACTTAGGGAATCTTGTTAAAATTGAAGTTCTTATTCAATAGGTGTAGGGTGAGAATCTGGTCTAAGAATCTGGATTGTTTTTTCTCCCTTATCGTTATCTACAAAGGATCTGCATTTCTAACAAGCTCCTGAATTATGTTTATGCTATCTGTCTACCATCCATGCGCTACAGCTTACGCAGCAAGGCATTAACAGATCCATCCAGACTGATTTCACTTAGAACTGCAAGTTAGCCTCAGAATTAATTGAGGAAAAGAATAGGGTCCCAGGGAAAAGAAGGGGTGCTAGAGTCATTAAAAATTTTTATGCTTTGCATAATGGCACCTCTTTTTTTATTTTTTAAAAGAAATAACCCATTGAGAAAACTATAGAACTTTGTCACTGGTTCTTTCCATAGGTTTCATCAATTATTTTCTTCGGCCGTATGACACCTGTCATCTACAGTATAAGCTCATGCACTGGATATTTCTAAAGGCAGATTTAGTGGCTGAGAGCCCATTTCATTAGAGACACATCTCATTAGTATGGTACAGTGGGACAATGCACTGGGCTGGATGTCAGAAGACCTGAGTTCTTGTCTTTATTGCTTTTTGAGTGTGTGACCTTGGGCAGGTCACTTAATCTCATTGAGCCTCAGTCTCGTCCTTAAAGCTAGGCCAATAATCCCTGTCTACCATACAGGGTATTAAGAAGAGCAAATGAGAGAGCTGTGAAAGTACTTTGTAAATTACAAAGTGACTTAGACGTGTAAGTTATTATCATTATTGTCCATGTGGTACTGACTGTAGACCTACATGTAAAAACACATTGGCTTTTGATGCTGTTAACCCTCAACTTTCTTTATCAGTAGAAGGAGCATTAGCAAGAATTAGATGATGAATGAGCCACACGGAGTCTTTCTCTGTCTGGGTTCAAAGAATGAAAGAATCAAAGAATGAAAAGATGGAGTCCAAAGAGTCAGAGAAAGGCAGGGCTTGGTGGCTCATGCCTGTAATCCCAGCACTTTGAAGGAGGCTGAGGCAGGCAGATCATCTGAGGTCAGGAGTTCGAGACCAGCCTGGCCAACACGGCGAAACCCTGTCCCTACTAAAAATGCAAAAAAATGAAAAAAATGGTGGTATGAACCTATACTCCCAGCTACTCAGGAGGCTGAGGCATAAGAATCGCTTAAACCCAAGAGGTGGAAGTTTCAGTGAACCGAGATTGCACCATTGCACTCCAGCCTGGGTGACAGAGCAAGACTATCTCAAAAAAAAAAAAAAAAATAGAATCCTAGGGAGAAATGGTCAATTAAAATTTCCTTATTCATGTGTATTATGTACTTGACCTTTGTTTCCTTTCCAATTCCTTGTCTGGCATTGGAAAACAACAGTGATGTTGATGGGAAGGTCTATGCAACTGCTTGTGAATAAAAGCCAGTTTTGAATTAAAAAAATAGAAGAAAAAACCAGGTTTCTCTGATCCTTTCACATAACTCAGTGTAGAGTAGTTAATACCATGTCTTTTCTTCACTCTCTAGAATGCTTGCTGTAGACTGGTAATTTACTATCTTGGTTATTAAGCAAACAAAGAGGCTTGGCTTTCATTACAATAGAGGAAGAAAAATGTTAGTTTAGAAAGAAACATATTTGGCCAGGAGCAGTTACTTATGCCTGTAATTCTAGTACTTTGGGAGTCTGAGATGGGAGGATCACTTAAGCCCAGGAGTTGGTAACCAGCCCGGGCAACGTGGTGAAACCCTATCTCTACAAAATACACAAAAAATTAGCTGGGCATCGCGGTGCACGCCTGTAGTTCCAGCTACTCGGGAGGCTAACGCGGGAGGATCGCTTGAGCCCGGGAGGTAAAGGCTGCAGTGAACTGTGATCACGCCACTGTACTTTAGCCTGGGTGACAGAGTGAGACACTGTCTCAAAAAAACAAAAGGAAAGAAAAAAGCTGATTTAGCTTTTGTGGTTGGATAAAAAGTCTACATGATGAGATAGCTAGTGAGTCCATAAATCACCTCAGGGTGGTAGTCTGCAAATGAGAAATTGAGTTAACTTTCTTGTGGGTATGGCAAATACCTTTTTTTTTTTTTTTTTTTTTTTCTGAGATGGGGTCTCCCTCTGTCGCCCAGGCTGGAGTGCAGTGGTGTGATCTCAGCTCACTGCAAGCTCCACCTCCTGGATTCACGCCATTCTCCTGCCTCAGCCTCCCAAGTACCTGGGACTACAGGTGCCTGCCACCACGCCCAGCTAACGTTTTGTATTTTTAGTAGAGACAGGATTTCACCGTGTTAGCCAGGATAGTCTCGATCTCCTGACCACATGATCTGCCCACCTCAGCCTCCCAAAGTGCTGGGATTACAGGCGTGAGCCACTGCGCCCGGCTGCTAATTTTTTATTAGTTAATCTCAGATATTTTCATAAACACGTTTCAGAGTCCCCCAAACTCTGTTTTGGATGAATATAGAAAGTTTTTTGATAATTTTCTTGTAAGAAATTTCCACAATGACAGAAATTCATCCTTACTGTTCAGTTCACCTGGAGCCAGTGATCCAGTACCCGATTTTCCAAATGGAGGTTTCCACACGAAAATAACTTGCTGCTTCTATCTCCGGGGCTGTTTCATGAGCAGAGCAGTCAGTGTTTTTCAATTTGTGGCTGCCCACATCCTGACCCTGATAATCTTTCTTGTTAGCAGTCAGAGATGCCTCTACTGACCTGTGCATACGTTGCAGACAGATACTCTCTGAAATCTACCCTTGGTGGCTGGTGACTTTGCTATCATTGCAGGAAGTGTGATGGGTGCTATGTGTATTTTGTGATAAGAACTACTTGTTAAGCTTTGAGTGAAAGCCAGAGCCTCAGACACCATTCCAATGAGAAAACTTAAGACTTCTAATCTAACATATCAGGCATATGATACAGTTATTTACCTGTCTTTTCCAGAGTATTGAATCTGGAACATGTATGTAGGAATTTCCTTACTAGTTTTAGTTTTACTTTTTTTTTTTTTTTTTTTTAGAGGTAGGGTCTTACTTTGTTGCCCAGGTTGGAGTACAGCAGTGTAATCATGGCTCACTGCAGCCTCAAATTCCTGGGCTCAAGTGATTCTCCCACCTCAGCCTCCTAAGTAGGACTGCAGACATGTGTCACCACATCTGGCTTTTTTCTTTTCTTTTTTCTTTTTTCTTTTTTTTTTTTTGTAGAGACTTGATATGTTACCTAGGCTGGTCTCTAACTCCTGGGCTCAAGCAATCTTTCAGCTTCAGCTTCCCCAGGTATGGGGATTACAGGTGTGAGCCATTGTGCCCAGCCTTAATAAGCACTTTGACTCTTTGGGGAAAACCAAGGTAAAAGCATAAGAACCCCAGGAGAATTTCCTATTGAATTTCTAGAACATAAGTACCCTAATTATGGTGTTATTTTCATCTAATCTAATTTATCCCTGGGAACGTTACCTGAGTATGACCAGTTATTCTTAAGAAGCCTAACTTTCTAGTACGGTGTATTCCAGAAGCCACCATCATAAGGATGTTAGAGAACCCCTTCAGTATCCTTGGCCTGCCATTCAGTCCTAATTTTAGAGGGAGGCTGGGGAGTGCTAGTCTGTCTGCAAGCTTGAAGGTCGCTCAGGGATCTCTGAAACCTTCAGAGTAGACCCAGAGGACTGGTCTTTGGCTAAGAGGTTCTCTTTGGTCTTGTGTTAGCTATTAAAGAGAATTCCAGGGGAACAGTATATCCGGTACTCTAGGTTACCCAAGCATTTTTTCCTTTGAAGAATTCCAGAGCATTCAGTTTGGCTCAGAATATTTGGAGCTTAATTGAAGCAAAAGCAGACCTTTCCTGGGGTAGCCGTGGGCTAGAATAGTTTTACCCCATCTCCACCTCTGTCATCCTACAGTTTCCTGAAGATTCATCTAGGTTCATTGTGGGTTACCCAAGGACTTATGTACATTCCAAGGATGCCGAAAGATGCACAGCAGTGCTTATCTTTAATTCTACTACATAAATTTTACTCATGCCATGGCTTACGCCTGTAATCCCAGCACTTTGGGAGGCCAAGGTGGGCCGATTACCTGAGGTCAGGACTTCGAGACCAGTCTGGCTAACATGGCGAAACCCCGACTCTACTAAAAATACAAAAATTAGCCAGGTATGGTGGCGCGTGCCTATAATCCCAGCTACTGGGGAGGCTGAGACAGGAGAATTGCTTGAACCTGGGAGGCAGAGGTTGCAGTGAGCCCAGATCGCGCCTCAAAAAAACATTTTTTTTTTACTCTACCCAAATGAACAGAATAAACAAGCATCACTATGCACCGTTTGTGTGGGGTCAACATTCCCATTGCCTAAAATAAAAGTTCATTCTTCCTTGATATGCTGACACTAGGTGGGATATGACAAGGCTCAGATACGCTGGTAAGGGATACTTCAAGAAAACATATTGAAATAATATCTTTTAAAGTTTATAAAATAAAGTTTGTCCACTTTTTTTCTGTTCTTATATTTATTGAGCTCAATCCCAGTTTATTTTCAGAAGTCATCTCAGACATAGTAGTGGGTGCCAGAGCATTCCTACCAACCAGGAATTCTATGTATATATGCGTGTATTTATCTCCTCCCTTACCCACTATACCTTAGAACCAACCAAGAATTTCAGCATAATAAACCGATCCTTATCACACTGTCCTTGCAGATTGACTTCAGCCTTTAAACTGGCTGTACTTTGAGCCCTTACCTTGTCAAAACAGATATACCTAGAAGTGGAAGAGTCCAAATTCAGGATAAAAAGTTGGTCAATGGTAAAGGAATATAGTAACTTCCAAATCCCACGTCACATTTGCATCCCATTATAATAAAATGATTCTTTTTTGACACAGCCCCTCTGACATTTTGACATATTCATCTTTGGGTAGAGTCCTCTGTTTCTATTATTCCTAGAATAATCTTCATTTTTGTCAGATAATGGGCCCTGAATTCTACTACTTTTTCCCAGTTTTCCCTGTATAGGGTATTGCAGGGTTTTCTAGCTGAGTTGTTTGTTGACTTTTAACAGTTGTCAGAAAATGTGCAATAAAAATAATTTCTAACACTAACAATAGCAAGGCACAGAATCTCTTGGAAGCTACAATCAATGCAGCATCAACCCTGTCCTCCAGCAGCTGAGATGCTGGGGACTGAATTTCTCTGAATAAGTTTGTCATCCATCAGCATCTGTGTCATTATAAGAATAAACATCTCTCTGGAGTAGAAGAATGGGCAGGAAATGAATAACAGTACTCTTCTATAAGTAGTCTACCCACAGAAGCATATAAAGGTGCATCTATACCAGCCTGTGTTAAGAGTAAAATATGGAGGAGAACGGCTTAATCCCCTCCAATGTGGCATAGAAACCACACAGGATTGTTTCGATGTGAAGACAGATCTCAGGGTTTCCTTCTGCCCTGATATTTCTGAAGCCTGTGTTGTTAAAATTAGTTTTCTAAGTCTCTTTTTTCACTATTGCTATTGTCTCATTAAAGTAGCTTGTTTGTAAGAGTCTTGCAGAGTCCACAAAAAGCCTAAAACTGCTTTAGCACAAATATAGAAGTCATAGTAAAATCTAGAAAACTACCTGGTGTTTTCTGATTTCTTAAGCTGTAATTATTAGTAACAAAGGATTTATGGGATTCCAGAAGATGGAATCTCACAAATGCCAAACCAACTGTTTGATTTCACAGACAAGATTGATGGCAGCTGGGAAGTTAAATTTTAATTATAGTGAGTAATTTTATTCTTCCATATTTTAGCAAAGCTGCTATAAAAAGGCTTACTAATTTGAATTTTAATTCTTTTCCTTGTTTCAGCCCCTGCTGAAGGTGATAATGAGCGCTAAAATTTTCGCAAGTAAGTAGAGGGCAAAGAGAAAGAAAAAAAGGAAATTGCCACAGCCCTGATTGCCAGCCCTTTAGAACTGATAATATATTTCTTTCCTAGTCAATCCATTCTGTCCCAGAGAATTAGGGATTCTATTGGCTCCAAAAGCATCACATGATAATTTTCAAATGTATAGTGTAAGAAAAGGTCAGTTTCCCTAGACTGCCAATAAAGGACAGAATTGCTATTCTTTTCTCTGATCATTTCCCATCCCTTAATCTGTGTTTTTCTTAAGTATTTTGCATACAGTTAAGATGATAGAGAGGCTTTTGGTGAGAAGAACAAAATTTCTCACTTATATTTTCTCTTTTTCAGGTAAGAACAGAAGTCATCACAACCTTTGTTCTCTGTAGATTCGCCAACCTGTACTCCATCCGGAGCATGTTAGAAGACCTCAGTGAACACAGGACCAAACTCCCTACTTCTCTTTTCTCCTTTTAAACCTCTGTAGGAATACAATTTTAGAAATGAGAATATTTAGTTATGGAAAAAGTGAAGACCTTGGTGGGAAGTTTGTTTCTATAGAATGAAAAGCATGAATACTAAATTTATAAAACTTAGTAGGAATCGGAGCCAGACGCGGTGGCTCATGCCTGTAATCCCAGCACTTTGGGAGGCTGAGATGGGTGGATCACCTAAGGTTGGGAGCTCGAGACCAGCCTGACCACTATGAAGAAACCCCACCTCTACTAAAAATACAAAATTAGCTGGGTGTGGTGGCTGCAATCCCAGCTACTAGGGAGGCAGAAGCAGGAGAGTGGCTTGAACCCAAGAGGCGGAGGTTGTGGTAAGCCGAGACTGCGTCCATGCACTCCACCATGGGCAACAAGAACAAAACTCCATCAAAAAAAAAAAAAAAAAAAAAAAAAAATTAGTAGGAACTAGGGAAATAGAAATAGGAACAGTGTGAATTCCCTATAAACTTCCTAATCAGATGACTATAGGATTTGTAATGGAAAAGTGGAACAAAAGGATGTTTCTTAAGAATACGTGTTATTCTGGCCGGGCGCGGTGGCTCAAGCCTGTAATCCCAGCACTTTGGGAGGCCGAGACGGGCGGTTCACGAGGTCAGGAGATCGAGACCATCCTGGCTAACACAGTGAAACCCCGTCTCTACTAAAAAATACAAAAAACTAGCCAGGCGAGGGGGCGGGCGCCTGTAGTCCCAGCTACTCCAGAGGCTGAGGCAGGAGAATGGCGTGAACCCGGGAGGCGGAGCTTGCAGTGAGCTGAGATCTGGCCACTGCACTCCCGCCTGGGTGACAGAGAGAGACTCCGCCTCAAAAAAAAAAAACAAAACAAACAAAAACAAAAACAAAAAACGTGTTTTTCTTCATTGAAAGTTTTTGTTTGTTTTTTGTTTTTTGTTTTTGAGACAGGGTGTCCACTCTGTCACCCAGGATGGAATGCAGTGGTGTAATCTCAGCTCACTGCAACCTCCACCTCCCGAGTTCAAGCAATTCTCCCACCTCAGCCTCCCTAGTAGCTTGGACCACAGGCGTGTGCCACCACGCCCAGCTAACATTTTTGTATTTTTAGTAGAGATGGGTTTTCACCACGTTGGCCAGGCTGGTCTCAAACTCCTGACCTCAGGTGACCCGCCTGCCTCTGCCTCACAAAGTGCTGGGATTAAAGGGGTGAGCCTCTGTACCCGGCCGATTGGAAGTTTTAAATTATGGACCTTTTAAGTTATGGAAGATTGACAACCAGAAGACAAACAAGTAAGGAAGAGATAGGAGTTAGATGTTCAGGAGGAATACATTAAAACAACAGGTCTGGACTTTTGCTATCTCGTGATAGGCTTTGGCTTAGATTTGCAAAGCTAACATTCCAAAAGTTGTTTCATTTCCAAATAGGTATTACTTAATCTACCACTAGATGCCATTCTCACAGATAATGGTTAACTAGGTCAAAGATTGGCATGCTTTTGATTTTCTTTTTCAAATAATATTCTGCTAAAGAAGCTAAACATAATTAATTCCTAGAATTATCTCTAAATTGAAAGAATTATACACATTAGAAGAGGTTTCAAAGAATATATACTTAGTTATAATTAATTATATCCTATACTTATTCTCAAATACTATAATTATTGCTTATTCTAGTGTTATCCTGCTTACTTCATTTTGCCTAAAAATTCTTTTAGATGGAGTCTTGCTCTGTCTCCCAGGCTGGAGTGCAGTGGTGCAATCCTGGCTCACTGCAAACTCCACCTCCCAGGTTCAAGTGATTCTCTTACCTCAGCCTCCCGAGTAGCTGGGATTACAGGTGCACACCACCATGCCCAGCTAATTTTTGTATTTTTAGTAGAGATGTGGTTTTGCTATATTGGCCAGGCTGGTTTCGAACTCCTGACCTCAGGTGACTCACCTGCCTAGACCTCCCAAAGTGCTGAGATTACAAGCATGAGCCACTGTGCCCAGCCCATTTTATCCACATCTTAAGGAGAGCAAAATTTTCCAATTTAACCAGGACTATTCATGAATTTGGTCTTCTAAGGGCCCAAGCCAGAGTTCTGGGCTCTTCAACAGCTTTTTCAGGTATCAGAACCTCTCTTTTCAGCCTAGTGTTAACACACTATACTTTAACAGTGCTAGACTGGTACTGCTAAGCTTCAGTAGGCTTTAGGGAACCTTCTCAGTGCACCTGATTATGTCCCTGAGTCTCAGAGATTTTTTGCTTCCTGAGCTGAAGAAGAAATAGAAGAACACTCCTTCCTGACTACCTTGATGGTTAATTTTATGTGTCAACTTGGCTGGGCTAAGGTGCATGGTCGTTTGGTCAAACACCAGTCTAGATGTTGCTGTGAAGGTATTTTTAAAATGTGAGTAGCATTTAAATCAGTAGACTTTGAATGAAGCAGATCATCCTCCATAATGTGAGCAGACCTCATTCAATCCATTGAAGGCCTTAGGAGCAAAGAGTGAGGTTTCCTGAAGAAGAAATTCTCTTCAAGACTACAACATAGAAACCCTGCCAGAGTTGCTGAGCGCGGTGGCTCACGCCTGTAATCCCAGCACTTTGGGAGGCCAAGGTGGGCGGATCACCTGAGGTCAGGAGTTTGGGACCAGCCTGGCCAACATCGTGAAACCCCATCTCTATTAAAAATAAAGAATTATCCAGGTGTAGTGGCAGACCCCTGTAATCCCAGCTACTCGGGAGACTGAGGCGGGAGAATTTCTTGCATTAGGGTGGTAGAAGTTGCAGTGAGCCGAGATCGTGCCACTGCACTTCAGCCTGGGCGACAGAGTGAGACTCTGTCCCCACCCCTACCCCCGCCAAAAACAAAACAAAAAAAGAAACCCTGCCAGAGTTTTTAGCCTGCCTGTTCTGCCCAGTCTGCTCTATAGACTTTGGACTCAAGCCTGCAGCCTCAACTCTTACCTGAATTTTCAGTTTGCTGACCTGCTGTGCAAATTTTAGACTTGCCAGCTCCCAGAATTACACGGGCCACTTCCTGAAAATCTCTCTCTCTCTCTCTCTCTCTCTCTCTATATATATATATATATATATACACACACACACACACACACACAGTGTGTGTATATACACACACACACACATACATACAATGTGTAGGTAGAAGGATAGATCTCCTATTGGTTCTGTTATTCTGGAGAACTGTGACTAATACAACTTTTCTAATAAGGAAGTTAATTCCTCTATCTCTACTTCCCGCATTTTTTCTATTTGGAACTAGCATTTGTAATTTGCATCCAATACTTGTATTTATTTACAAGCATTTCTTCATGGGCTCATGAAGCTCTGATATATTTCTATTGTGCTGCTTCTTATTTTTATTAAAGAACCTTATCATCCATTTATCTTCTTAAAAAGGGGACATTTCAAAATTACATTCAATAGAAAGTAATGTTATAGTAGAAATACGAAGTGATATCTCCATACTTTGTTACAAATTTTTTCAGATGGAGCTCTTAAAAACATTTTAAGTCTTGAGTGTATTTACTGGATAACATTCATTTCCTTTTTTTTTTTTTTAATATAGTTAACTATATTTAGTGGATTATGGGTGGAGAAGAAGGATATTTGAATATTTAAGACACAAAAGACAAGATTGATACCAAGACTGACAACACAGAACAAATGCCAGTTTACAAGAGAGAAGGCAGAGATGTTAATAGTGATAAATTAAGAATCCTTTGGAACTTTTTCATAACAGGCTGGTAGTATATAGAACACATGACTACCTTAAGTTCCTTTCTCCTAATCTCTCTTGTTGCCTGTAGCCTCAAGTGTCCCACTGGGAGAGTGACTTTTCCGAGACTGTCATGGGTGTCTTTCTCCCTGGGACTTGTGTCTCCTAATGCTTGTGTGGCAGGTAGGTGCTTCTTTGAGTCTTGGTGATAGAAACACATAGAAATATGATTTAGTCCTTAAGGAACAAAAAGGAACCCATCCAGTTTTCAAAGGGGAGCAAAAGTTCAAAAGTTCAAAAGAATCAGAAACTTTTTTGTTGTTGTTGTTAGTACCGAAAGCAAAGCTTACTCAGGCTTTTCAGAGTGGTTAAAAAAAAAAAAAGAAAAGTAGAGAACACGCTTCTTATCTTCAAAGAAATTACAGAGGGGTTCATTTTAAAAAGGAGAAGACACATGCTACTATTTAAAGAAGTCCCAGAAGGACTTAAACTTGAAATTCTCGCTGTGGCAGCAGCTTTCCTCATCCTCATTCTTAGGCATCTTCTATGTCCCCAGAGGAGTTGAAGCCAACTCTGTTTTTCTACTCAGTACAGTGTCCAGCAGCAACTATGACAACTATGTGTGCTGCAAAGAATTTTTCCAGAGGTGGGTGTCTCCAGGGCCACAGAGTTCCCTCTCAGCACTTTATGGGGAAAGTTATTCTCTACACTTGAAAGTAGAGAAGAAAAGAAACACGTGTGAAAGTATTTGGAAGTGCATAAGTGGTGTGTGTAAAGGGGAATGTCATGTTCAGCCTTGTGTTTTTCCTTCCTTCCTACTGGAACTCGTTTGAGTCTTTGTTACCCAGTTAGTAGAAGTTGTAGATCTGAGTAGAAGTTTTCTTGTTTGTCGAAAGAGCGTTATCACTAGTGATTGAAAGGTTGGCATTTCCAGAGAGAAAGGTGGCAGCAGCCCTTTTGCAACTTTTAAACAGTGATGAGAATTCTGGCCCTTTGTCTTTAAGCATTATATTAAGCAGACTTTGACGTCTTTCTTTCAGCATTTCATTCAACATTACTAACCCCTTTTCCTCCTCTCGTCCCTGGGAAAACATGGACTACCATGCAAAAGCTCCTACCAAATGCTGTGGCATCTTCAGTTCCTGCCCACCACAAGGGGACCAAATCCCTGAGCCACACCCCTGAATTGATAGATCTTCTATAGAAGCATAGATTGGGCATCCTTTGCTTGTCTCCAGCTTCTCTGCGTTGCACTGTTTTGCTACATACTGTGAGAATGACTCAACCTCTTGAACCTCAAGTTTCTGGCTTTGAGCAGCTACCTCTCCTAAGTGAAAAGTGAGCATCTGAAAAGCGATCGCTTGCTTTAGAACTACGTTAAAGATGGGTTTCCCTGTGAAGAATGACTCCAAAACATGAGAGATGGTCCATCAGAATAAATCCTTCAGTGAAATAAAGACCATGATAGACATTGCTGATGCTGGCATACTTTGGATAAATGAATCTGGAGAACAGAAGAAACTACATGGAGCCGGGCACAATGGCTCACACCTGTAATCCCAGCACTTTGGGAGGCCGAAGCAGGTGGATCACTTGAGGCCAGGAGTTCAAGATCAGCCTGGCCAACATGGTGAAACCCTGTCTGCACTAAAAATGCAAAAAATGAGCCGGGTGTGGTGGCATGTGCCTGTAGTCCTGGCTGCTCAGGAGGCGGAGGCATAAGAATCGCTTGAACCCAGGAGGTGGAGGCTGCAGTGAGCCAAAATCATGCCACTACACTCTAACCTAGGGTGACAGAGTGAGGCTCTATGTCAAAAAACAAACAAAACAAAAGAAGAAACTACACGGAGACTAGGAGTCTTTATTAGGAGAAAGGAAATTTAGTTTACCTGTAACTAGAAATGGAGTTAGAATTGTATTTATGGGCTAAGAGAGTGACCTGTATCCAGGTACAGGAGAAACTTTAGAGCCTTGCGGACCTTTGGCCATACATACAAGCAGGTGTTCTCTCTTACAAGAGCCCCTTTCAAATCCTAGGCACATTTTAGTCATACAACTGCAAACTCAAAATTAATTTGCCTTAGTTCTAGTGGTGGTCAGGTCTGGTGGTCAAGTGGTGGGTGAAGATTGCAATTTTAAATAAAATGGTTAGGGAAGGACTCACATTTAAGCAAAGACCTGAAGGAGGCAGGGGAACAACTCATGGAGATAGCTGGGGACAAGGCTTCCAGAAGAAAAGCAAGAGCAAAGGTCCGACAGTGAAAGTCTGTCTGGGATGTTCTGGGGCCAGTGAGGAGGCCTGTGAGACTGGAGTGAAGTGAGGAAGGCAGGTGAAGAAGCTGGAGCTGGAGCTGGGGTGGCAGTGGGGCCCAAGTGGTGTGGAACTTATGTAAGCAAACTGGCTTCCCCTGAGTGAGTTGGGAGGGAGAGGAGTGACATGACCTGACTTTTGTTTTAACGGGATCATTCTTGCTGCTGATGAGAAAAGACTAAAAGGGAACAAGGGTAGAAGCAAAGAGATCAGGAGGAGGTGTTTTCAGTAATCCAGGGGAGAGATGACAGTAGCTGGGACCAGGATGGGAAGAACCGAGGTGGCAAGAAGTGGTAGGATTCTGAATATATATCAAAGGTAGATGGATCTGCTGGTGGATTAGATATGAAGTGTGAGAGAAAGAGAGGAGTCACAGATGAGTCTAAGGTTGTCAGCCTGAGCCATTGGAGGGATGGAATTACCTTAACTAAACAGAGGAGGACTCAGGGAGAGGCAGGTGCTGGGAGAAACATCAGAAGTTCAGTTTGGGATGTGCCTAGCAGAGACATTGAATAGGCAGTTGAATACATGAGTGCAGACAAGTCAGGACTGGAGTTATAAGTTTGGGAGTCATATACATGGATATGAAAACCATAAGACTGAATGAGATTCCCAAGAAAGAAAATATAGACAGAATCTAAGAGAAAGAGCCAAAGACTGAACCCTGGAGCACTCCAATGGTTAAAGTCAGTAGGAACCAGCCGAGGAGATGGAGAAATAGCAGCCATTGAGAAAAGAGGAAAGCCAGGAGAGAGGGGTAATATGAAAACCAGAGGAATGTCGGGCGCAGTGGCTCTTGCCTGTAATGCCAGGGCTTTGGGAGGCTGAGGCAGGTGGATCACCTGAGGTCAGGAGTTTGAGACCAGCCTGACCAACATGGAGAAACCCCATCTCTAGCAAAAATACAAAATTAACCGGGTGTGGTGGTGCATGTCTGTAATCCCAGCTACTCGGGAGGCTGAGGCAGGAGAATCACTTGAACCTGGGAGGCAGAGGTTGCAGTGAGCCGAGATCGCGCCATTGCACTCCAGCCTGGGTGACAAGAGTGAAACTCCGTCTCAAAAAAAAAGAAAACCAGAGCAAGAAAATCTTGTATGGGGGAAAAAGGGGTCCACTGTTGAACACTGCTGATCAGTCAAGTAAGAATGAGGGATATTTGCCTGGGATTTTGCAATGTAGGGAACATTAGTAATTGTAACAAGGGCAGTTTATTTAGAGAGGTGGGGGTAGAAGCTTGAATGAGTAGGTTCAGGAGAAAACGGGATGAGAGGAACTGCAGACAGGGAGGATAGATGACTATTTTGAAGAGTTCTTCTGCAGAGAGTGCAAGAATAGAGCAGTAGCTAGAGGTGAAAGTGAAGTCAAGAGAGGGGTTTCCCCCCCTTTTAAAGTGGGTGCAATAATACTGCATTTGCACACTAATGGAAATGTCTAATAGAAAAAGTGTTGATGCATCAGAGAAGCAGAGAATAGCTGGAGAAATTCTTTTCTCAGCATGTCTCACAGAACTGAAGACATTCTAACCTATGCTAAAGTTTGTTCCTATCCCATGTACAATGAAATGCCAGCAGTTCTGGTTAAGGAAATAGTTTCTGCGGGGCAGAAGTGGAAAGACTTTCCGAGGTCCTTTGGAAAGCCAGGTCCCTGTGTCTTGGAGCCTGAGGGCAGGGTGCGTGTGGATGAAAGTGCTAACCCAAGGGCCTCGGCTTTGACTCGAAGATAAATTCTTCTGGGCATTCGCACGAAACCCACTCAAGCAACCTTTCTGTACAATATAGCTTATAAAAAGACTTCGCTAAACAGATTTTTACCATTTGTGATTATTGGAAGAGACAATCCATTCCACTGAGAGACTTTGTGGGAGATGGGCAGAAGAGGGGATCAGATTTCCGTACTGAGAGGTCAGTCTGGCTGCTGAGGATTGAGGAAGCTGTGTCAATAGTTCAGGTGAGAGATACTGGTAGCTTGGACTAGAATGGAGGCAGTGAGGATGAATTTGATTAATTTGTTCTAAGCTAAAGGTATACATTTGGCAGATTTCCTATAGATCATAATGAAATCATGGGTAGTAAAGTGAGGGAAGGATCTAGTGAAGAATGAGAAAGACATGGGGCCTTGAAAAGAGCCCTAAGGAAGCCTAAGACTTTCGAGTCCTTTAGACTCCAGGGCTTGGTAAACTTATCCAGTAAAGGATCGGATAGTAAATATTTTAGGCTTTGTAGCCAAGAATCAAAATCAAGATATTATATGGGTACTTATATAACAAAGAGGAAAGAGAAGCCATAAAGCTTTTATTGACAAAATTCAAAATATAATAAAAATTGAGGACACCCTTTTTATAATACAGTTCTACCAATGAGAAAAATGAAATTTTCTTTTGAGGGAATGATAGTTTTGCTTAATTGGTGTTCAGAGTTAGTCTTCCCTATTATCAAAATAAATTGCAAATGTTCATCTATTAATGTGATGAGGTTTTACATCTTTATATATTTCAAATGTCTTTTTACACAGACACATAATGCCAAATGCTGATATCAATTCAGGGACATATAATTTAAACTGAACATATTCATTGCTTGGAAAGGTATTCATAGAATTCTATTAGATTCTTCTTTTGACAGTTGGCTTTTAGCATGTCATTGCCAATAAATCACTTTCTTTTTTTTTGTTTTTGCTTTTGAGCTAGAGTCTCGCTTTGTCGCCCAGGCAGGAGTGCAGTGGCGCAATCTCGGCTCACTGCAACCTCTGCCTCCCAGGCTCTAGCGATTCTCCTGCCTCAGCCTCCCGAGTAGCTGGGACTACAGACACGCGCCACCATGCCCAGCTAATTTTTGTAATTTTTAGTAGAGACGATGTTTCACCATATTGGCCAGGATGGTCTCAAACTCCTGACCTCATGATCCACCCGCCTCAGACTCCCAAAGTGTTGGGATTAGAGGCGTGGGCCACCACGCCCAGCCTACACTTTCTTTTTTAAATTTTAAAACCATTTTTTAATTATTTAAAAAATTTTAAATTAAAAATATGGAAGCTTTCATGAATTTGCATGTCATCCTTGCACAGGAGCCATGCTAATCTTCTCTGTATCGTTCCAATTTTTATACATGTGCTGCCAAAGCAAGCACCGATAAATCACTTTCCTAAACCAAACAGTTAAATGTACTTTGAAATTACCTTTGTTCTTGCACTGAGTTCAGAAAAGCTCTGCTGGAATGGTCATTTAAGCTCAGAAAATATATCTGTTGCAAATGGAGAATGGAGATCTTGCTTTTTGTTTTCAGTTTTGACAGCAAGGGAAGTACATAAAGTAATTTCGTATTACTTGTGACTGAGACATGAGTCATCTAAATGACTTTACCGTAAGTTTTGAATATTAGCACTGTTTTGCATCATAATTTTAGGTTGAATTTATTAAGAAACATTATCAAGTCTGTAGCAAAAGCTAATTCCAAAGTAATTAACAGTGGTTGCGGGCAGTTCTTCTATTTGAAAAAAACCTCAAACCTAGCCCCAAGCTCAAAAGATTGCAAGAAAACTTACCATTGCTGAACCATTGACTGCTGTGTAGGGGGGCAAGTCAGGATATTCACACAATTCTTCAGTTCCCACTAAAGACTCAATATTGATTCCTTGAACAATCCACAACTGAGCAGAATCAGTAACCCATGTTGATTCACCAAGACCTAAGGAAAATCACTCCACATCATTTGTGTTAATTGATTATTGTCACTCCCATTGTCCTCAACTCGGACAGCAACCCTCCATGGCAAAGGCTAATACTAATTTTAAGCAGTTTGTTTCTTCTGGACACATTTCTTCAGCAACTAAACATGATTTAATTAACTAGCCATTAGTAAATGGCGTTCCTTGATTAGCTAACAAATGAGCCAGTTGGGGTACTTATCTGCAAAAAGGTTGAAGACGTTTTTTTTCATTTTTTTATTTTTGTGAAGACATTTTGCTGTCATGAGATATTTCATTTTAAATTTTCTATTTTTTCCTGACTCTTGCTTTCCTATGAGTTGGAAATCTTGTGATGAGTACTTCTGGTAATGTCAGCATCTATTCTTTCAGCACAACTATAATGTCATTGTACAATGTTTTGCCATCTAATTTAATCAGAATGATCCACACTCCACTGTGCCTTAGAAGTATGACAG